TTTAAAAAACCCACGTTTTCTGATTGAACTAAAAAGTAGAAAATAATTGCTATACATCACAATAATGCAAGCGATCACTCTACTATAAGCGATCAAAAACGTGGGGCGCCGTGATTTTCTTACAGTTTCTAATACTGTTGACTCTCTACAAGCTCCCTAATAAAAGTCAATAGTATTATCTAATCAATAGTAATATAACTTTTACTTCGGCGCCCCACGTTTTTCATCGCTTATAGTAGAGTGATCGCTTGCATTATTGTGATGTATAGCAATTATTTTCTACTTTTTAGTTCAATCAGAAAACGTGGGTTTTTTTAAACTTTTTTAATGATTATTATTTTAAATTGAGTTCAGTGTAACTTTACTGAAGCGATATGCTAGTATGACTAAAGATAAAAACGTAGGCGCTCAATGATGAAAAATTGAACATAGGTCTTACATTCTGTTATAGAACATTAATTTCCAATGAATTCTCTATGAAGGGAATATTATTCTCCATAAGCGAGCACCCACGCTCAATTTCTGCCGAATCGGACCAGGGGAAGTAAGTAAAATTAATATTTCAAGATTTGTAAAGCCTGAAACAACTTTATTTTTATGAGCCAAATAAAAAGATTAAAAAAAAAACGTTCCTGATTTTCTATATTTAACTTTGCCGTAAATATTTAAGAAAAATCAATCCAAGCGATTGCTAAAAACAATTATCATATGTAGGAACATAAAAAATGTAAACGGCGTACATTCTTGAGTTTTTATCTGATACTTACAAGCAACTGTTGTGTAAATCTGGGTTCAATAGACGGTTTACAATAATAGTGATATTTAAAATTAATATTTGAATAAACACTACGCATTATGTATTTTCAGTTTTAAAAATAAAAAAAATTAATTAGACGTTTTGTATTAGATCTATTTATAAGTAAACCACGTTTAATGAATGAAAGTATGCTAATTGAATGAAAGAAATAGTACTGTAGTACTAAAGCGAGGCAAGGCAAACTGACGCTGTAAATTACATGTCTGAGAAAAAAAAAACATAAATAAAATAAATAAATACATAAATTTAATGTATGAACTTGTCTAATTTTAAGCGCTATAAAAATATATATTCTACAGCATATTCAAGACAGTAGAGTAAAATAAACATTATTTTATTAGAAGCTTCAGAAGGAAGAAATACAAATGTGCTGAGTTTTCAGCATAATAAAGAACTAATTGCAAAAAAGCAACTGCTTTTGTATTGCGAAGTTCACGTCTCGTTTCATTTTGAATTTTAACAAAGATAGAGTTTTATGTTTCATTTTCTCTAGATAAAAAAAAGAAAAAATAAAAAAATCAGTTTGGACTTGGTAACCTCCCTTGAAATATTTGTGTCGTCATGGTGTGACGGTCATGCATTTATGGAGACTTGGTTTAGGTAGAAGCCATCCATTATCGAGTGTAGATCGGTCACCGAAACAAGGGCTTTTAACTCTTCCCTTTCTTTATGTCTCGGTTATTTCCCTTTGGCCACCACATTGTCTGCAAGTCTCCAACTGAGAGTAAAATAAGCTGTCTACTCTCATGGGGTCACATTGCATACGCACACTTTTAAGTACACACACGCACAGAGACACATGCACGCACACCTGCGCACACGAGCACGCACACGCACAAGTGCTCAAATATATGAGAAATATAAATATAAATATGAATATATATATATATATATATATATATATATATATATATATATATATATATATATATATATATATATATATATATATATATATATTTATATATATATTTATATATATTTATATTATGTAGATGTGGATGTGAATGTGGATGTGGATGTGGATGTGGATGTGGATGTGACTGTCAATGTTGATGTTGATGTATATATTGATGTAGATGTAAAAGAACACACACGCATACACACACACACACACACACATATATATATATATATATATATATATATATATATATATATATATATATATATATATATATATATATATATATGTATATACAATGAAGCATTCAACACTGTTTTTCTTCCCACATAAAATCTGCACTCTCCGTGCTCCCACACGATAAAATGAAAACAAATGCTGTAACGGCGAAGTCACGCGGAAAACGTCAGTGCATTGAAATCTCGCGAGAGGTGCCATCATGACTGATTACGGAATGCACCAAGTACAGCACGCCACGTGTCAGAGCTTCTAGACAGGGCGCAGACGGGTGGAGAAAAAAAAATGTAAATGTCAAGGTCAAGATTGTGTCTTGGTTCTTGTATAATAGAGGGCAGGGCAACGTGTATTGAAAGAGATTTTTCATTTTATTTTACTGTTGTAAGACATGGGCGGAACTGGAAAAAAAGCTTTCCACCAGAATTTTTTTCGATCCCCTGTATATATATATATATATATATATATATATATATATATATATATATATATATATATATATATATATATATATATATATATATATATATATATATATATATATATATATATATATATACAGTGGCGTAGCGAGGTCGGGTGTCACCCGGTGCGGCACTTAATGGTGTCACCCCCCCCCCCAAAGGCATAGAGACCCTTCCCAGGGACAAACTTTCAAATTTTCGATTTGCACCCCCCCCCCCTCGAGTTTTCGACTTGCACCCCCCCCCTCAAACTTTCGATTTGCACCCCCCCCCCTCGAGTTTTCAATTTGCACCCCCCCCTCAAACTTTCGATTTGCACCCCCCCTCGAGTTTTTCTCTATATATTTTCCTATTTTTTGCCTTGGTGTCACCCCCCTAAATGGTGTCACCCGGTGCGGTCCGCACCCCCCGCCCCCCCCCCCTCGCTACGCCCCTGCCAAGAGTGCACGCATTCGATTACTCGCCTTAGCAGCCAAATTTGTTTTAAATTAGAATCGTCCTTCTAGAGTGGGTATCTCAGTTCAAATAAGTTATCGTCATTTTGTAATGTGTTGAAAACATACTCGCAAAGTAAAGTGAAATTTTGAACGAATAAGGTTTTAGAGAACTTTATTTAAACAAAAATAGAACTGTGGATATCAAATACTATCTGTTAATTTTTTTTTTCATTACACGTTAAATAGAACTTCGAATTTTGAATTCAAAATAAATTTTTAAAAATGTTATTTTTATAGTTTTGCAGTTTTGCGACGCGAAGGATTACCATCCACACTAGACGCACGCCTGGCTATAGGCCTTGTACGTCTCGGCCCCTCTTGTTTACAATTCCAAATCTGGTTAGCCAGAGACTTTTTTCTCCTGGGGGGGGGGGGTGGCAACTTGAATTATTTTTTTTTGGGGAAGGTGGCGGGGCCGGATTAAAATTTTCGGGGTGTGGGGGTGGCCATTTTTTAAAGTATATATTTTCTATATAAATTCCATTTTGTTTGGGGGGGGGGGGGGGTGGCGGTAGGCACTCTTGAGGGGGGGGGGGGGGGTAGTAACTCTGGAGAAATAGGCCTCATTTTCAAACTAAACAAATTGTTGTGAATATGATTCCCTTTGATAACCAAAAAAAAAAAAAAAAAACATGGTGTTCCAAGAATTCCCACAATAGAACATTTATAATCTTAGTCTATCAAAATCATCGAGTTTTAAATAAACGATTTGATAAAAATATTCACCTTTGGTTTAAAAAAAATACTACCTCGCAAGTACGATGACCTTGGTGACCTTCTTATAAGCCCTATTGGTACTTAGTTTACGACGCGAATAAAACAAATATACGCTATTAGGTTAGGTTAGGTTGTCGCTCTCTCCTACAGAGAGCCCAACACCACAAGTACTGTGACAAATATGGCGGCGTTTATTCTCGATATACTAGACAGGTAGACGACGTTTCAAGAATTCTGGGTTAAATACCTTGATAGTCTCGTAGTGGATGGAATATTTAATTAGCATACTGCCTATTTTAGGGGTCGACGTGGTCGAGTTATGGTTGCTAAACCGAAAAGTCTCGAATTCGAACCCTCGGGCAGATGAGGCTAGTTAGCTGGGGACAGCAACTCTTCTAGGAGAAACAACTCTAAAAATCAAACAACTGCTGCCTTGTATTGTGTTCTTGTGGATCTCTTCCAACACTAAAATTAAAAACGAAGAAGAAGAAGAAAAGACTCCCTATACTTAAAGCAACTTGAACAATTTGATCTTATTTTCTAAAGAATGGATGTATGTGTTTGTTAGGGGTTAATGTAGGGACATAAGTCTCCGACAAGAGCTTTCCAGGCATCATTGTCCTGGGCTAGACTCTACAACTGTCCCCAGGTGTATCCAATCTTCTTGGTGTCTTCTTCCAGGTCACGTCTCCAGGTCTGTCTCGGTCGGTCTCTTTTCCTTTTTGCTCTGTGAATTCCAGGTGAGGGCCTGTCTTGATGCAGGATCAGAGGCGTAACGAGGGGGGAGGGGTGCGGACCGCACCGGGTGACACCATTTAGGGGGGGGGGGTGACACCAAGGCAAAAAATAGTAAAATATATAGAGAAAAACTTGATTGGGGGGGGGGGTGCAAATCGAAAGTTTGAAGGGTGGGGGGTGCAAATCGAACATTTGTCCCCGGGAAGGGCCGCTACGCCTCTGGGGATGACACCATTAAGTGCCGCACCGGGTGTCACCCGACCTCGCTACGCCACTTGCAGGATACAGGCTTTTTGAGCGTATGACAAATCCATTTCTATTTTCTATGGGAGATCTATTCTTACATATTATTATCTGTTATTGTAAATTGTCTTCAAATTAAGTTTAAATTTCTTGTGGACTTTCTTTGAATGATATTTTGAAATTATATTTACTTTAGTCTCTCCTAATTTTCAACTTCAAAAACATATTATTTTACCCAACACGTGGTTAAAACATGTCCATTTCACTTGTTAGTATATTTTGCTCTTCATTGGAATTTTAATTAACTTATGTTAATCGCTTATCGATTCGGCTTCGTTCATTTCTTGAAGAAAACGTTGCTTCAGTATAAGGGAGAGAAACATAAGACACAAGGGAGGTAAACTACTACAGTGCACAGACCATCAAGAATACACCAAGATGAAATCTGCTGTTGTGTTCATCACAGTTTTGGCCATCATGGTACTGTTTCTGATTGACAAAGGTATGTGTATACGTTTATTTATAGGTGGTAAACATGACTGTATCTTAGGTGAACGATTGTAAGGAGAAGATTCGTCTGGTCTATTCAACTTCAGTTTTATGCGCGCATACATACATACATACATACACACATACATACATACATTCATACATATACATATATATATATATATATATATATATATATATATATATATATATATATATATATATATATATATATATATATATATATATATATATATATATATATATATATATATATATATATATATATATATATGTCAATGTATGTTTGTCTGTCTGTATGTTTGTCATTTATGCATTTTTATACCTTTCATCCGATCGCCCTGAAAGTTTGAGAAATTGTAGAGATTACTCATTGAAAACTCTGCGAAAAATTATTAATTTCGCATGGGTGGCTCCCCGGGAGGGTGCGATTTTTCTCTATATATGGTATATAAAAAATAAAAGATGCAGGTTGACACCGTTCATCCGAGTGTCATTAATCCTTAGGGAGTTGATGAGAATACTCCCGAGAAGGTTTCTTCGAAATAAAAATAAAAATATTTCCAATGAGCGGCGGCCAGGATTGTGCGATTTTTGTCAATACGCGGTTTGGAGCCCAGAGTTTCAGAGAGGGTATTTTAAGAATTTGCGCCTAAGTTCGTTTTATAAATACAAGGCTATACACTAGGCTAGACACTTTCTTCTTCTTCTTCGTTCTAAATTTTTAGTGTTGAAGGGGATCGAGATTTATCTGCCAGTGGGTTTGAACTCGAGACTTTTTTCGAATTTATCAACCATGAGCTTTTTGCCGACTCGACCACGCCTCCAACACAATTAAGGATACGTGTCAACTGGTTATGCGCCATTGAGGCCATTGACTCCGATTTCAGCCAGCTTTTTTTTTTGGATTTGCTTCTATAGCCTTTGTCCAACCAAGAACAAACTACAAGGCAACAGTTGTTTGATTTTGGAGTTAGAAGAGTGGCTGTCCCCAGCTAACGAGCCTCATCTTCCCGAGGGTTCGAACTCGGGACTTTTCAGGTAAGCAACCATGAGCTTTTACCGACTCGACCACAATTTGCGCCTACGTTAGTTTTATAAATACAAAGCTATACACTAGGCTAGACACGATGGACTACAATAATCGTTGGCTGTATCGAATCAGGCTAGTCCTCCAGCGTCCCGGCAGTACATCGCACTACCCCCAACCTTGACGTTTAGTCTGGCCCCTTGTTATAACTGGGTTCTATATGAGTACCACAGTTATGCAGTGAGAGGGTAGAACTACTTGATCCAATATTATATTCCAATACCACTACATTTGATTACATTTAAATCAGTTAAAGTGGTATTTTGACAACAAAAACTTTTTACAGAAGGGTCCATTGTTGGTGGGTGGGGCTGTAACTCCCCATATACCCCCTTGCATACGCCACTGACCAATATGTATTTTTAAAAATCTGAAGTAGTTTGTTATTTTGAGCTATCTGTACTTTTTTTTTAAATTTTTTTAAACAGGGTTTTGCGGTAATCGGTGTGCTGAAATGGGTCTACCCTGCCCATGTAAATATGATTGGGTATGCTCAATGTAAGTGAATCATTTTATACTGCAGTATAATAGCACAAAAAAAACTGTTGCATGACAAATTTAACTCATTGCTCTTTTAACAAAATACCTTTTTTTAATAGCCCTTTTAATCCGCTTGATAACAAGTTTGGAAAATGGAGACGTTGGAGTAAGTTTCATATTTTATATTGCAGTAAACTAGCACATATTTTAGTTGGTGTCAAACCACACCTAAACCTAGTTGTATGATAAGTTTTAATAGAGAACTTTCATTCTCGTATTATACTGGCCTCAAGATGTTGCGACCTACGTTCATCCAACTCCACAACATTTACACACTACACAGTTCTAGTTGTTTAAGATTACTATTACTCATTTATCAACCTAACGTACCCACGTCAGAGGCGTAGCGACCCTTCCCGGCGCCCGGGGACAAACTTTCAATTTGGCGCCCCCCTCTGGAGCAAATTTTCAATTTGCAACCCCCTCAAACTTTCAATTTGCACCTTCCTTAAACTTCCGATTTGCACCCCCCTCAACTTTTCAATTCGCACCCCCCCCCCACAAACTTTCGATTTGTACCCCCCCCCCCCTTCAAACTGCAAATATGCAGCTAAAATGTCATTTTAACTTGTTTTTACAACCCATTTTGGCGCCCCCTAAGGTCGGCGCCCGGGGACATATCCCCCCTGCCCCCCATTGCTACGCCTCTGACCCACGTTACATAAAGTAAAAGTGATTGGGGATAATGATGGGACAGCCACTCTTCTAGGAGAGACACCTCCTAAGTCAAACAACTGCTGCCTTATAATTTGTTTTTGGTAGGACAAAGGCTAAACCAACAGAAACGCTGGCTGAAATCGGAGTTCAATGGCCTCAATGGCGCATAACCAGTTAACACGTATACTTCATTGAGAATATCCCTTCCAACACTAAAATTAAGAGCGAAGATGAAGAAGAAGAAAGGGGTAATACTATACACAGTATGCCGAAGTTATTTATTGAAACAGATGAACGCTACTTCATTAGCATCAGGTTTCATATTCACAGTCAGGAAAAGACTATGATGATCTAATGATGAATGGCTGCTAAGATCTAATAATGAAATCCTCAACAACTTCTAATTGTAAACGTTATTAATTAACCATTACCTAACAAATACTAATACAAATTTTGATTTACAATATTGTTTTCAGCATCTTGACCACTTAGCTATATAGAGTCTACGCCAAAATGGTCACGCTATCAAGCTTAAGTTATATTTTACTACGTGAATAACAAATGTGGGCCTAAACTAGCAAGTTGGTAATAAAGAATTTCTCATCCCCAAAGCTTTCTTTTGCTTTATTTATCATTTCACCACCATTAAAATATTTTGTTTTTTTTTTGCTCAAAAATTGAATTTCAACTACTCAATATATACAGAATCAACGTAGATTACAGTATATGTATGTTTTCATCGTGTAGGTAAAAAAAAAAGGATCCTGTTATAAAACAGCCTGGTCAAAACAAACCGCGACAAAATCACCCCGACTAAACGGTTCTTGAGTCAGTATAAAGTCCTTGAGTTCACCCAGCTCTGATGGGTACCTGACCCACTTTAGGGATACAAAGGCGGCTGACCACACTATCCCCTCGTTTGCCGAAGTTATTCAAACAGATGAACTCTACTTCATCAGCCCCATGTGTCTTGGTTACGAACTGGAAAAGAAGACAAAAAAAAAACGGCCTCTTCTACCTAACTGAAACAGAAATCAAGTTATTTACTTTTGAGAAACCGGAAGTAGAGTAAGTACCACTTCCGGTTAATAGAAATTGTTCAAAAGTTCATACATTACTACGTATTTTGATACAATACCTATTTGTGAAATTTTGTCAACATAACTGAAACGGCACTCAACTCATCGTGTTAAAGACTCACAGACACACAGACACATAGACAAACAGACACAATTACAAAACTAATTTTTTTTCCAATACAGGGACGTGAAAAGGTCGATATTTGTTAAAATCTTGGATTTCAATCCTTTGCACGATTACAATACTTCCTTTATATTTCGTATTCAAGAAATTTAAAAAGTTCCCGTAAAAAGGTGTATTAAAAAAGTTAACAAAATATTCTCCTGTTGAAGTAGGTTGATTTAGTGTATTCTTGAGGTCCTTTATGGCTGGTTTAATGATAGTAACATGAACATTTACAAAGTGGCCAGTATGATGTGGATAGCCAGTGGCGTAGCGAGGTCGGGTGTCACCCGTTGCGGCACTTAATGGTGTCACCCCCCCCCCCCCCCCAGAGGCGTAACGACCCTTCCCGGGGACAAACTTTAAAATTTTCAATTTGCAACCCCCCTCAAACTTTCGATTTGTGCACCCCCCCCCTCAAACTTTTAATTTTGCACCCCACCCCTCAAGTTTTTCTCTATACATTTTGCTATTTTTTGCCTTGGTGTCACCACCCTAAATGGTGTCACCCTGTGCGGTCCGCACCCCGCCCCCCCCCCCTCGCTACGCCTCTGTGGATAGCACAACGTTGCCATGTGGCTTGTGTAATGTGGTATAGGGGTCAGTATAATGAGGTCAGTATGGTGTGGACAGTACGTTGTGGTCATGTGATTTCTATTTTTAGACCATGCTGCCAGGGTAACCTGGTCGAAATAATTTTGCGAGTATAAATTATTCATATTGTCAGATTAGATTGGCCCTCGCACAGTTAGTAAAAGAATCCTCTTTGGACCTAGCATCCATTGGACAAATGAAGTAAACTTTATAATGTATCTTGACATCGGCATATGAAGAAAAGGTGTGGTCAGCACTTTGCCTAACCGCCTTAACTTTAACTAACATTAGTTAGGTACTCATCAGAGCTGAGTGGACTCAATGACGTTCTATTGACTTGGACTCGAATTCGAACTCGAGACTTTCGTTAGGAGGCTATCGCTCTACCGCTTAGGCCAGTGGATACTACAATATAAAGTGGTCGCCACAAGATTGTCTGTATACTGTAAGCCGAGTGGCCAGAACAATGTCCTATAACAGTGTGGTCGAGTTGCCAGTAAAAATGTGGCCAGTACAATGTGGCCAGTATGAGATGGCCATGTGGCCAGTATAATTAGGAGAGTACAATGTAGCCGTGTGGCCAATATAATTTGGCCAGCTGAATGTGGAGAGTACAATGTGGCCATGTAGCCAGTACAATATAGCCAGTACAAAATGGCCAGTACAAAGTGGCCAGTACAAAGTGGCCAGTACAATATGGCTAGTACTATTTCGCCTTGAGGCCAGTACAATATAGCCAGTACAAAATGGCCAGTTCTACGACGCCAATATAAAAAAGCTAGCATAGTTTCACTAGTTCGACTGGAATTTGCCCTAAACATGTTATAAGAACATATTAGCCTAAACACATTTGATCGATATCAACACAGCAAGTACGGTGTACCCAGTACAAATTGTGTCTAAATCTTTTACTCTCTCAAATTGTTAGGTCGATCAAAGTTAATTAGATATCGAACAACAACCTAAACATTTTTCTTATGCTCAGTTGTTTAAAGGGTAATTTTGCTCGAGAAAAGGACAAGACACTTGTGATCTTTACTTAAACTTCTATAGATCGTCAAAATGATGAAACGTGTCGTTGTATATCTCAGAGATGCCGCCATCTTGGTGTTCTTCATTACCCAAGGTAAATATTTTAATCTTACAACTGTCGCTATCATGTTTCCTTCTTTACCCAAGGTAAATATTTTAATCTTACCACTGTCGCTATCTTGGCGTTTTTTATTACCCAAGGAAAATATTTTACGCTTACCACTGTCATAGAAAATGTAGTACTAGAAAATGTGCAATTATGAAATAAAAGTATAAAACAGTAAAGTTCCCCTTCCGAACCTGACGGTATATGCGGCAAGTGAAGTAGAGTTCACCTGTTTATGTGACATCGGCATATGAAGGGATATGAAGCCGCCTTTACTTTCCCTAACAGGGGTTAGGTACCTATCAGAGCTAGGTGGGCTATGGGACGGTCTACTGACTTGAACCCGGATTCGAACTCGAGACTTTGACCCATCGATGAAAGAATATTTGGTAAACACCATGTTCAGTCCCCTATATATATAAGGTGAATCTGGAACGATGTACGGACTCGAGACACCGGATTCGAACACGAGACTTTCGGATTTGCAGGCGTACTCTCTACCCTCCGACCACACCGCCACATAATGTGCCTACTAAAATATTATTTTTTGTAAATGATAAATTTGATAAATAACTGAACAATAATTGGAACCCTTCTGAACATATACATTTATTTTCTCAGTTTAATGATTTATTTTTGGCAAGTAACTAGTAAGTTAGTCATTTTACTGTTTCAATTTAAAACAGATAACTAGTAAGTTAGTCATTTTACTGTTTCAATTTTGGCAAGTAACTGGTCAGTTTGTCCCTTTGGTATTTTCATTTTTGACAAGTAACTAAGTAATCTGACAACTGAGATATCTGTAGACAGCAAATCTTGAGCTTCCATTGATATATCCAGTTTGACACTAATAGATTAATACATTGGGAAATGGCATATAAAGTTATATTCACATTTTGTAATAATCTTAATGTTAGTTTATCGACTAAACTTTACATTTAATTTTATTCCCAGATTATTACTATTGACCATCAATATAATGTAATGCTCAACAGAATACGCTTTATTTTATTTTCATCATAGGTTGGGCTCTATTTTGTAAACGCTATTGCTGGTAAGAATTTGTTTAAATTTTACTTAAGGTTTTTAAGATTTTACAGGTTTCGTAGAATATAGTTGGTGTTCTGCTAGTGTTTCTTACTTTTTTACGTGTTTGTTTTAAGAAAGATATATTTAAATTGGCAGTGAAAAGTACACAAGATATTTTTAGCATACTTTGTATAGTGCTCATATTTTGCTATGTGGTTGTGTGTGGATTTTAGGGAAAAATAGGGTAAATATTGCATACACGTCGCCCATATATTTTACACATCTACTGTTTCACTCAATGATTTGTTTGTTTTTGTTTCTCGTGATTTCTTCTAAGTCCGAAGTTGTTTTGAGTAGGAGCAGGACATCATCTACGGTCAATCACCCCAATCCCCAACCCCCACCCTAGAGGCGCAGCGAACCTTCCTGGCGCCCGGCGACAAACTTTCAACTGGCGCCCCACGCCCTGGAAAAGAAGTTTCAGTTTGACGTCCCGCCCCGGGGAAAAGAAGTTTCAATTTGGCGTCGTGGTCGTCCCCCCGTCCCCCCGGGGACAAACTAAATTTGACGCCCCCCCCTCAATATTTTTTAATATTTAGATGCAAAACTGCAGCTAAAATGAGCTTTTAATTTTTTTTCAACCCATTTTGGCGCCCATAGGGTCGGCACCCGGGGACATATGTACCCCTCGCCTCCTCCACACGTACACCAGATGAAATACCTGTATTAATTAACCGGTAAAAAAAACCTGTAAGACACAACTTACCCTAGTCAATTGTCAGGGAACTGGTTTGGGGATTTGGATAGGATTGTGTTTGCAGGACCTCAGCTACGGTCAATCATCTCCCACTTCACCAGATGAATTACTTATATATTAATAAACAAAATTAAAATTAAAAAGAAACTAAAAAAAAAACAAACAAACAAAACCAGCCGTCAGAAACAACACAATCACTTGTCAGTTATTGGGAACAGGTTTGGGGTTAGAATAAGGTTGCATTTGCAGCAGTGGCGTAGCGAGATCGGGTGTCACCCCACCTTCTCCCCCCCCCCCCCCCCCCAAGAAAAAAAAATAGATTCCATATACACTTGTAAGTTTGTGTATATGCATGTGTATAATTATTTAAATATTTTTTTTTCTGCTGAATGTATTTAATTCCCCCCCCCCTCCACCCCCATACATGGTTTAACATATAGCTTATTACGATTCTCAACCAAACCGTTTTCCTCAGGAATATATATTGCAACGTTGAGTTTATGTAACTCTCCCCATCCCCCTCGTCACCCCCACGGTGATTGCTTTAAACTGTGCTCAGATAATACTAACGATTTGTATCTATATTAGGTTATAAATTCAGCTGGATGTTGCATGTTATCTTTACTATTAGCAGATTTACGTCATGGTGTCACCCCCCCCCCCCACCCGCGTCGGGATTTGTCCACTTAGCTCTTAAAAGACTATTTATATTAATCATTTAATAAAGTGAAATTATCATTTTTCTGTATATATGTTGCTTATTTTTGCTTTGGTGTCACCCCCCCCTCCCTAAACGGTGTCACCCGGTGCGGCCCCCCCCTCGCTGCGCCACTGATTTGCAGGACATCAGCTACGGTTAATCACCCCCCCCCTTCCACTACCCCTACCAGATAAATTGCCTGTATATTAATTAACTCCTGTAAAGAAAACAATAAAATCAGCTGTAGGTAACATTTAAGAAACAGGTTTTGGGGTTAAGAATAGAGTTGTATGTTTGTGAAATCATACATGATCAATACCCCCCCCCCCCCCACACACACATTAATTGCCTGCATGTATAGTAATTAACGCCGGTAAATAAAAACAACCTTAGGACAAAACGTCTCCCTGTCAATAGATAGGGCTGGTAAGTAGGTCACCAACCTGTTCTATGGCTCATGCAGGTTTGATTGAGCCGTATAACTGGTTGGTGACCTACTTACCAGCCCTATTATTAAGGAGCAGTTTTGGGGGTTTGGATTTGGTTGAATTTTCTAATGCTCTAGATCAGGGGTCTCCAAACTACGGCCCGCGGGCCAGATGCGGCCCGCGAAGTCCTCTCATCCGGCCCGCGGAGATCTTTTTGTCCAAGGCAAAATCGTTTGTTGGTGATGGCTGAGGATCTTTGCCCAGAAAAATCAAAGACATGCCTGGAAGAAACTGGCCCCCGAACTGAAATTTGAGAGTTAATGCGGCCCTCGGACTGAAAAGTTTGGAGACCCCTGCTCTAGATGGAATAATCTTATTCTGCACTTTGCTGGATTCCATGTGTACACGTATACGTGTGAGCCTTATTGAGTGCAAATGTAGGCGTGCATGTGCGTGAATGTATGGATATGTGTATAATATATGTGATATGTTGCAGAGGCGTAGCTACTCTTCTCGGCGCCCGGGGACAAACTTTCCCTCGTACTTTTGATTTGCACCCCCCTCAAACTTTGGATTTCCCCCCCCCCCTTCAAATTTTCAATTTATTTTTCCAACCCAGTTTGGCGCCCCCCCCCCCTAAGGTCGGCGCCCGGGGACATATGTCCCCCCCCTCGCTACGCCTCTGATATCTTGTAAGGGTGGGAGACTAAAGGTTTGGGAATGTATCAGTGGGGCGTGTATTGGATCAAGGAGAATCAACGAAATAGTTTTCAACATCGTGGTATTCGTGTGTGTGTTTACTTGCTAAAACAAACTTTACTTTCGTGCTTTAAAATTACTTTTTTATTTTTCTCGAAGGGATACAGAGGCTGGTAGAAAGTGTGAAATGGATTGTGATTGGATGGGATAGTGATTGTGATGTGATCAACCGTATAGTGCATTTCCTAAATGGTCGACTGTCACAGTGAAAACTAGCAAGCCAGAGTGATAAGCCTCAGATTTTAACGTGTAATAAACAATGACCAAAACGAAAATTAAAAAAATAAAACTGTATTTTCTTTTATTTTAAATGATTTTTTTTTGCCTACGCTAATATTGATAATAATTAATTTATTAACCGTCTAGATACAATGTTATCCATTGCATACCCCCGCTATAATTTGATACAGTGTCGTACAGTGTTTTAAAAACATGTTTGTCCATGGTAATATGTAGCAAGGCGACAGATTCAAAATACATTTTAACAAAGCAATTTTAATCTGCAAAGATACATTTTAAAAAAAAATCAGCAAGTTGGGTGTATTCATATCAGAAGGCGTGGCCTAGCGATAGAACGCTAGAATGCTGACATGAAGTTTGAATCCGGGTTTAAGTCACTGAAACGTCACTAAGTACACTCAGCTGTAATGGGTACCTAAGTCATGTTGGGGAAAGTAAAGATGGCTGGGCAAAGTGCTGACAACACTATACCTTTAAATACTAAGGGCAAGAAATATAGGGACTCTTTTTCAACTGCCCAATGGAGCGTTAGGTCTAAAGAGGAATGTTTTTTTTCTTATAGTGTAGTCATGTGGCCATTATGTAGTCATGTGGGTATTATAGCGGCCATTATAGTGTGGCCTGGGTATTATAGCGGCCATTGTAGTGTAGCCTGGGTATTATAGCGGCCATTGTAGTGTAGCCTGGGTATTATAGCGGCCATTATAGTGTAGCCTGGGTATTATAGCGGCCATTATAGTGTGTGTTGCCTGGGTATTATAGCGGCCATTATAGTGGGGCCTGGGTATTATAGCGGCCATTATAGTGGGGCCTGGGTATTATAGCGGTCATTATAGTGTGGCCTGGGTATTATAGCGGCCATTATAGTGTGACCTGGGTATTATAGCGGACATTATAGTGTAGCCTGGGTGTTATAGCGGCCATTATAGTGTAGCCTGGGTGTTATAGCGGCCATTATAGTGTAGCCTGGGAATTATAGCGGCCATAATAGTGTGGCCTGGGTGTTATAAAGGCCATTATAGTGTGTCCTGGGTATTATAGCGGCCATTATAGTGTAGCCTGGGTATTATAGTGTAGCCTGGGTATTATAGCGGCCATTATAGTGTAGCCTGGGTGTTAAAGCGGCCATTATAGTGTGGCCTGGGAATTATAGCGGCCATTATAGTGTGTCCCGGGTATTATAGCGGCCATTATAGTGTGTCCAGTATATTATAGTGGCCATTATATTGTGTCATGTGTATTATAGCGGCCATTATAGTATGGCCTGGGTATTATAGCGGCCATTATAGTGTGTCCTGGGTATTATAGCGGCCATTATAGTATGGCCTGGGTATTATAGCGGTCATTATAGTGTGGCCTTGGTATTATAGCGGCCATTATAGTGTGTCCTGGGTATTATAGCGGCCATTATAATGTGGCCTGGGTATTATATCGGCCATTATTTGTGTCCTTGGTATTATAGCGGCCAATATAGTGTGTCCTGGGTATTATAGCGGCCATTATAGTGTGTCCTGGGTATTATAGTGGCCATTATAGTATGGCCTGGGTATTATAGCGGCCATTATAGTGTGGCCTGGGTATTATAGCGGCCATTATAGTGTGTCCTGGGTATTATAGCGGCCATTATAGTATGGCCTGGGTATTATAGCGGTCATTATAGTGTGTCATTGGTATTATAGCGGCCATTATAGTGTGTCATTGGTATTATAGCGGCCATTATAGTGTGTCATTGGTATTATAGCGGCCATTATAGTGTGGCCTGGGTATTATAAAGGCCATTATAGTGGGGCCTGGGTATTATAGCGGCCATTATAGTGTGGCCTGGGTATTATAGCGGCCATTATAGTGTGTCCTGTGTATTATAGCGGCCATTATAGTGTGGCCTGGGTATTATAGCGGCCATTATAGTGTGTCCTGGGTATTATAGCGGCCATTATAGTGTGTCCAGTATATTATAGTGGCCATTATATTGTGTCATGTGTATTATAGCGGCCATTATAGTATGGCCTGGGTATTATAGCGGCCATTATAGTGTGTCCTGGGTATTATAGCGGCCAATATAGTCTGTCCCGAGTATTATAGCGGCCATTATAGTGTGGTCGGGGTATTATAGCGGCGATTATATTGTGGCTTGCGTATTATAGCGACCATTATAGTGCGTCCTGGGTATTATAGCGACCATTATAGTGTGTCCTGGGTATTATACCGTGACTAATGAATGGTATCCTTATCAATGCGGTCCGTATAATATGTCTAGTAAAATGTATGCAGTGCACTGAACAAGGAACGTGTGTTCAGTGTAAAGTATCCTATGACTACTTAAGTGTGGACAATACAATATGGCCAGTGCAATGTGGTAAGTTAGTTATTGAAAGCACAACTATGGTCAGGTAAGCGTAGGCGAGTTAATTTTTTTTTTCAGTTAAAAGTTAAAAACGATCTTTAAGACAGCCCACTGTGTTTTAGTTAAACTTTCTCAAACTGGTATTTCGATTATCGATAATTAGTTATTGAGTAACTAGCACATTCTTTTCAGTAAACTACAGTTAAGTAAGCTTAAGGTTGTTTTTAAAAGATACAAGACATAGCACGCGGGGTGAAAGGTCTACAGATCGTCAACATTGTGACAAGATGAATTCTCTTGTAGTCTACATCATATACCTTGCCATCTGGCTCTTCTTCATTACCCAAGGTAATTAGGGTAATCATTGTATTCTAACGTAACTTTTGTCTAAAAAAATATACCGTTGGAAAAATGTGCACGGAAAATGTATGATTGGGATTTTTGTAACTAAGTATTAGGCAAGTAGCTGTACAATTTATGATACATTTTATCTTTGGCTAGTAGGTGTTTAGTTTGTTTTAGATTTCATGTTTGGCTAGTAAGTGGTGAGTTTCTTTTAGCTTTCATATTTGTCAAGAAGTTGGTTAAATTATTTAATTAAGATTTATTCTTTGACATATAGATGGTTTGTTGTTTTTAGCTTTTATGTTTGGCTAGTAGATAGTTAGTTTGTTTTAGATTAACTTTGGCTAGTAGGGTTGTTTCAATTTAAGCAAATAACTGGTAAGTTAGTCCTTTTACTGTTTCAATTTAAGCAAGTAAATGATAAGTTAGTCATTTTACTGTTTCAATTTAAGCAAGTAACTGGTCAGTTTGTACCTTTGGTATTTTCATTTTGACAAGTAGCTAAGCAATTTGACACATGAGATATCTTGAGTTACCATTAAGATATCCACATTTACACTTCTAACAGAGTAAAACAATGCAGGTAAATTTATATATTTTACTTTCATCATTTATCTTTTATTTGTGTTAGTTAATCAGACTTAGCTATATATTTAATACCGTTTCCAGATTATTACTATTAAGCAACAATATAATACAACATAATACGCTTAATTTTATTTTCATCATAGGTTGGGCTCGAAGTTGTAGACGCCATTGCTCGTGAGTAACGCATATCAACAATTAAACATTAACAAACACTTTTCTAGCTAACACGTCAGGAAATACAAGTTTTGTAAATTTAAGTTTTGTAGAACTGTTTGTAATAAATCTTTTTATTATTTACTTAAGGGTATAGGATTTAACATGTTTTGTAAAATATGGTTGGTGTTGTGATGGGTTTGCTTAATTTAGTTTGGGACATGTGTATAAGTGAAATAGCCTTTATGTGTGGGAGTCAAATGTAAGTGTAAGCTTGTATTTGCGTGAATGCATGGACGTGTATAAACGTGAAGTGTGTTTTTAGTATGCGAGACAAAAAGTTTTTTTGAATATATGTGGGCGCGTACTTCATGAACGATAAACGAGATAATTATCAACATCGTTACACACACACACACACATATATATATATATATATATATATATATATATATATATATATATATATATATATATTACCAATCTATGTACTTTAAAAATACTTTTTTATTGTTCTCGCAGGGTTACAAGGGTTGGTACAATATGTCGCACTGATTGTGGTTGGTGGGCATAGTGATTGTTGTGTGATCAAACGCATAGTGCATTTCCTAAATGGTCGACTGTCACGGTCAAAACTAGCAAGCCAGAATGATGAGCCTCAGATTTGAACGTATGTAATAAACAATGACCAAAATGGAAATTAAAAAATTAAAACTATTTTTTTAAATGATTTTTTGTATATGCTAAAATTGATAATAATTAATTTATTAATCGTCTAGATACAATTTTATCCATTGAATACCCCCGCTATAATTTGATAGCTCGTATATACAGTGTTTTAAAAACATGTTTGTGAGAGATGCTAATAGTGAAATAAAAATTAAAACGAAAGCAAGAATGTTGGAAGGAAACATTGTACACTTCAGCAGACAAGGCATACCTGTAAATAAGAAAATCATTTGGAACATAAAACAAATTCGATATAAAACAAGCATAAGACAAGTGACAATACATGCCGGTAAAATTCGGGAAACAAAACAAACAAAAAAAAACAACAAAAAAATGGATGCCACTGAAATAAACATTCTCCGTTTGTACCCACATAGGAAAAGAGTTGATGGCGGACTTCAGTGTGCTCTGGTTAAACCAGCATCAATAGGAACACAAAACAAATAAGGTACAAGAAACCAGAAGACCTTTGATAATGATATCAGTGTAACCTAGACACTAAAAAAAAAAAAAAAAAAAAAAAAAAAAAAAATTAATAGACAAGTTAGAAAATGTTTAGGAAGTAAATTGTTGCCTATAACTTGTGACCAACTTAATGTGTAAAATATGTACAGTAAAATATGTACAATATGGCCAGTACAAACAGCCGTTATACAGTTGTCAATACAATATGGCTAGTACAATACAGCCGTTATACAGTTGTCAATACAATATGGCTAGTACAATACAGCCGTTATACAGTTGTCAATACAATATGGCTAGTACAATACAGCCGTTAAACAGTTGTCAATACAATATAGCCAGTATCATGCGATCGTTATACAGTTATCAATACAATATAGCCAGTACAATACAGCCGTCGTCAAAAGAGCGCACGACAAAAGAGCGCCGACATAAGAGCGCCGACAAAAGAGCGCCGACATAAGAGCGCAGTCAAAAGAGCGCAGACATAAGAGCGCAGACAAAAGAGCGCCGACATAAGAGAGCCGACAAAAGAGCGCAGTCAATTATAAAAACACATGTTGTAAGCTAAACAAATATGGCATTAAACAATCGGCGGTGCGATAAAACGACATGTGTTTATTTATATATTGTGGTTAATATGGTATAAATGCAGTTTGAAAATATTTCTAACCCAAGTAACATGTAGAAGATCGAATCACAGAAAGGGAAGGTTATTATATTGGTCGAAAGCTACATATATCGAAAGGACAGAGCAACTGCTGATGGAAGTAGGCCATGCAGATGCTGCAAGAAAGATGGCTGCCGAGGACGGATGAAAATGCTGAACGATGTTGTTCTGTCATCATCGGAACACAATCAAGCTCCTGATCCGGCTAAAAACGAAGCAGCGAAATTTGTTTCGGCTATACGAAAACGAGCAGTGGAAGGGGTGGAAAAACCAAGGCAGATTATACAACAAGCCAGAGCAGGAATTTCGATGGCAGTAGCACCTCATTTGCCGGCATACGTCGCTTCACCACGTGCAATAGAAAGACAGAGAAAACGCAAGCAGCTGCCATAACCTAATCCACAGAACGTTGCAGAGATAAAAATTCCTGAACCTCTTCAAACGACAATAAGAGGGCAAAATGAACATTGTTTTGTGGATGGAACTTTCAGAGTTGCACCAGTAATCTTCTATCAGATATTTACAATTCATGCTTTAATAGATAACAAGGCAGTGCCTCTGAAAATCTACCCCGTACAAACAACTCAGTCGAGGCATGGCGTCGCGCATTCCAACAAACGGTAGATTGCAATCATCCTTCCGTTTTTAAATTGATCAACCAGTTTCGTCTGGAACAAGATCACATCAAAATCGAACTGGAACGTCATCTAGCTGGAGTTAATCAACCAGAAGCTTCAAAGAACAAATATGTTCAGCTGAACCGAAATTGCAGGCGATTGCTTCAACCTATGCTAATGGTTCAATGATGGACTACCTACGAGGTATAGCCCACAACTTAGCATTATAAATGCAACTATAAAGAACCGTTTCATTAATCTGAACTTATTTTCATTTTGTTACATTTCGTTTCAGTTTGTGTTCTCACTTTAGGCCTAACATTTAAAATCTGTGTATGTGTTACTAGATTGCGTTTTGAATAATTCGACTTCATGTTGATTATATCAGTTTTTTAGTTAAAGAAACTGAACAATTAGTTTTTTAATGAAACAATAAAGAGTTAACTGGATATAATGTTGACCACATTATACCCTTGTATGCCGAGTTCATTGAAACATATGAACTCTACTTCATCTGTCTAATGTGTCTTGGGCACAAACGGGAAAAGATGATGTTGATAGTGTTGTCGTGAGGTCAAATTATGTGGCCTGTTTTAAGTACACTGCTCTCTTTTTTAATTGTGGTCAATAAAAATGGCCAACGGGCCAGTGTATCTTCTCAAGTGGCGGCGTGGTCGAATGGTAGAGCGCTCGGGTACTAGTCAGAAAGTCTCGAGTTTGGATCTCAGTCCGAGTTGGGGACTGTAGGATGTGCCTGAGTCCACTCAGCTCTGATGGGTAACCGACTCACTTTGGGGAAATTAAAGGCGGCTGGGCATAATGCTGATCAACATTCATATACTGAGGTCAAGAAACAACTCTACTTCATCTGCCCTATGGATCTTTAGGGAAGCTCTACATTTTTTTAGCACTAGGTTTTCACGTGGCTTGTATAATATAGTGGCGTGTTGCCAAAGATCTGTATCGCCAAGTATTCAGCACAATGTAGCAAATATAGCCTGGCCAATAGAATTTAGCTATGTGGCATGTATACAATTATGTATACACTGTGCTATTACAGCGGTCACTACACAAAGTAGTTTTGCACACAGCTTCTTCCAGGCATCTCTCCACCGACCCCTCCCCCCCCCCTCAACGAAGAAAGTCTACCGCATTCACACACAAAAAAAAAAAAAGAATTTCTATCGAAAATATATAATTTTAACAGTGTCCACCCACCCCCCCCCCCGTCCCCCCGGAAATTTTAGTCCGCCCCCTTCCCGAAAATTTAAAGTTTCCCCTCCACTCCTCCACCCCCACCCCCCGCCCCGCCCTCTGATAAAAAAAGCCTAGAAGAGACACTGGTTTTGAAATCAAAATAATGTGACAAGTTTAGGTAGGCCAACATAGATCAGATTGTAAATAAAACCAAAGTAATTTTCTATGTGGCCAGTATAGTGTTGGCCATTTAAAATGGTCATTATAATTTGGCCTTGTATCCAAAACAAAGTGGCCAGCGCTAAGTCTACTCGTTTTTCGGCCGAGGCGTGTTTTTCAATTTTAATTAACTTAGATATTGATTAACAGTAGTTAGGCAATGTCATTAGACAAAGAGCCACTTGTGAGCTTCACAAGAACCCTAGCAGGTCGTGAACATACTAGAAGATGAAATCTGCTGTTGTAGTTGTTATAGTGTTGTACATCATGGCATTGTTTCTGATTGAACAAGGTAGGTGTTGGTAGTTTTATACGTTAAACATCTGTCTTCAGGAAATTTTTCGTAAAGAAATTATTTGGATTAAAGGTAAAATGCCATTATATATATATATATATATATATATATATATATATATATATATATATATATATATATATATACATATAAATATAAATGTGTACATATATATATATATATATATATATATATATATATATATATATATATATATATATATATATATATATATATATGTATATATACAGGGGCGGAACTACAGTGCCGCCAGACCCCCCCCCTGCCTGGGTGGGCCCAGGCAGTTTAGGGGCCCACAGCCGACTTTAATTTATATATATATATATATATATATATATATATATATATATATATATATATATATATATATGTATATATATATATATATATATATATATATATATATATATATATATATATATATATATATATATATATATATATCGGGGCCCAAAATTTTTTTTGCGGGGTGGCCCTTTTTTTCTAGTTCCGCCACTGTATATATATATATATATATATATATATATATATATATATATTTATTTATTTATTTATTTATTGCTCTTTTGGTTCCATGACAAATGATCTCAGACAAAATATCTTACGGACAAATGATCTCAGTAACAAATTATCTAAGGAAAAATGATCTCTAGGACACAAATGATTTAAAAAAAAATTCCCAGACAAAATAACTCAAGGACAAATGATCTCACGTACAAAAGATATAAGGGCAAATGATACCATGGACAAATTATCTCAGACCAATTATCTCAGACAAACAATATCTCACTGCAAAATATGGATTATTTGTTCTGAAATCAGTTATATAGTAACATATACTTTTATATACATTTATAGTTATTTTATAGACATATACAATTATTTTATATACATATATAATTCTGTTATATATATATATATATATATATATATATATATATATATATATATATATATATATATATATATTTATATTCATTATAAGCTAGATGGTACGTTTATAGTTATCAAAGAAATCTGATCAAGCTTATTGGTTTGAACAATACTTACCTTTTTTTTTTATATCAGGTTTCTGCAGGTTACGTTGTTCTTTCTTGTAGTTAATCTGCTAGTAAGTAAATTATTTTTTACTGCTGAAAACGTGAACAGTTGTCACATTGTGGCAACATCTATATTTTATCTTCTATTGTCTACTACTGTCTTGCGTTACAAAATATTGTGAACATACTGAAATTTTAAAGTTGAAATAGTCTGATGTAACCACTGTCTTCTCTGTAATACGACAAGTTTGCGGAATAGGTGACTCCAGAGTTTTTCCAGGCCCTACCCCCGAAAAAAGTCTATAGTCCAAACGTATTGGATTGTATTTAAAAACATATACTTTCACCAGTATCTCATCTCCCCACCCCCTCAAAAAAAAAATAATAACAAACTCCTGAAAAAAAAAACACAGGATAAATCTTAATCCCACATTTGAACTTTAAAATACTTTGGTTAACAATATTGATTTGTTCACATATACAAACATTATTTTTCAGTCCTCCTGTGTCCCTTAAGTGACTACTAAGTCCTCTGCATCAAGTCTGGTCGATCATGACATTCAAGACTGCCTGACAAATTTTCTTCCGCTTATTTTACGATGGTCAATATCGATTGCTATAGAGATGTATGATCAACTTGGTGTTAAAATAAAAATAAAAATCAAATCCAGATTTAACTTATTTGTGATCTTCATTTTTCTCTTATATTCTAATAAAAAATATGCTTTACGTTACGTATAATTACATACATTAGTATTCCCAAAACTTACGTACACCACAAAATTTAAAAAAAAAAGTAAAGTAAACCTTCAAATTTGGCGGTTCATGGGGCTGGTGAAGTAGAGTTTACCTGTTTCAGGGAATTCGACATATGAAGGGATAGTGTAGGTAGTCAGTTTTAAAACCAGCTGCTTTTACTTTCCCCTTCGTAAGTCAGGTACCCATCAGAGCTGGGTGGACTCAGGGAAGTTCGACGTACACGATCCGGTGATTCGAACTCGGGACTTTCAAACCAACACTGTTGGACGCTCACATTTGTTTCAACAAAACATATATCAAAACAAAATGCCTCATTTGTTAAACGATATCTATATCTATATATTGATTGATCGTGCTGACCAATGTAAAAATCGCTATGTATGAAGCATACTAAAAAAATATAAATATAATAGCTATAATGCTGGCTTTTAAAACTAGTATTGTATTATGTAAGCATTGAAAAGAAAACCAATATTGAACCTACATTCATCTACTTAAGGATCCTATATTTTCTCTAATACGCTCTCTATCTATTCTTGTTTTAATTGAATGCATCCACCCTGCTATTAAATGATGTACACGTATGTGTCCTTAAGAGGTAGCCCTTTTGAACCTGTGGGCTCATGATGCAGGTGAAGTGGAGTTTACCAGTTTTAGTCAACTGGGCATTAGGCAATAGCTTATTCTGTACTAGGCCCTGACGCCTCTGTTTTCCAGAACGTGAGTCAGGTGACACTCACTGCCAGGTGGAATATTGGACTTTAAAGACTCGCTGGATCAGAACTCGAGAGTTTTGGTCTAAAACAGGGGTCGGCAACCTTTTGAGATGGAAGAGCCAAATGTTACTATTTTCAAAATTTCACAGTATTTAAAGAGCCACTAACATGTTTTAAAAATATTTGGTATTTGATCAGAATTAGGTAGATACATTGTATTTGCTATTTAAAATAAATACCATTAAATATAAAATAATATGTATTCATATAAAAACATACATATGTTTTGCCAGAATATTAACCTTAGTAATCAAATAATATAACTATAGGACTATCGAAATCCACTACAGTAGCTGTTAAATTTTTCACTTTTTGTTCTTGACGGATATCCCCGGCTCAGACTCAGAAGGTATCTCCCATTAGCCAGGCAGGCCTCAACAAACTCCGACTAACTGGCTTGGTTTGAATACCGTGTGTAGGTCGCTTCTGTCCTTCGGTTCTCACCAGGCTTATCTTCTACCCACTGAACGCAGGGTAAACTCGTACACCGCCGTCCAGTACCCGGCTAAACAGTAGGAAGCTAATTACTTTAAAAACTACGTCACTCAGATCAAATTAATGATTCCTGACAGATAGAAAAATGCACTTGAGCAGTGGCAAGCATGGAATGGTTGTCACGGAGCTGGTATACAGCACGGCTGTGGGGCTGGGCCTGGTGCACAAGCGGCTGTACGTGTACTCTTTACTACACCTATTTTCACTGTTCTCTGATGAGTTTTTTATCATGTTTCAATTTAAAGTTGAGTTTCTTTACAGTATAATATTCGCTGCGAGTTTTGAAAGTGAAATAATATAACTTTTAATATTTGTGCAAGGAGCTGGAGAGCCGCATCTTGACATCAAAAGAGCCGCATGCGGCTCGCGAGCCGCAGGTTGCCGACCCCTGGTCTAAAACCAACAAATCGGTCTCTATCTTATGTCCCTTAAATTAGGGGAGCCAAAATTGATTAAAACATTGAGTTTGCATAAACATAATCAGAGTAAAATGATTTTATCTTGTTTTAATAGGACTTAAAATAATGATATAGTTTTTAGTAATATTTTTTTTCGGTAATCATTAATATAATAATACAATTTAGATACATTTTGATCATTTACTTAAATGTTAAATTTAAATTTTGTATAGCTATTTACGCGTTTTATTATATATTTTTCACACCTCTTTGTTTTTTTAAATTTATTATTTTAGCTATTTGATTGAAAGTTACATCCCTTGATTAGTTTACAAATGGGAGATAATCCAGATGTGATTCATCCTTTCCAAACTAACCTCGTTTTTTAATGTTAAATCTACGTTTGATGAACCTTTTAAAATATATTTAGGGTCATGAAATAAAACAAGTATAATTATAAATTCAAATTTTACCCGTAGACAAAAAGATACATATTTTTTTGTTTAATAATTAAATGCTGTTTTATAACATGTTGTTTATATGCAACACACATCAGTTCATTTTCTATCCGTTTGTTTGACTCTCAAGCTTGGCCTGTACGTCTTGTATGTAAGCTTCCCTACAATGTTGGTTCTTGCCTTAATGCTCCCGGCTTGAGAAACCAATTTGAAATGCAAATTATAAATATAAACATTATTAAACAAATTATTTTATAATTTATTTTTAAAAGACATAATCTATATGTATAATTCTCTTCTTCGAGCCGTTAGAAAACAAGCTGCAAACGCTCTCCCTACCTCCCCACCCCTACATGGTTTTAGTGAGCTGTGTTCACTCTAAATGTTTACAAGCAGAGCCAACGATTTTAAACATAGGGGGGTGGGAGGGAAGGAAGGGGGGGGGGTTATGGTCCTTAACGAGCTACTTATAGTGTTTTAAAGAAATATTTTCAGTGTCAGCGTTGGTACTGTCGAATTCACAAATTATGAATTATTGAAAATTAGAAACAACTAAATAGCGGCGTATGTTATGCCGCGGGCCGGCTCGTGTATCTAAATCTGCTTATTCTTCTTCTTTTAAAATAATAAAAAACTTTTTTTTTGTCAATGCTTGCCAATATTTTAAAATATAAATAAGTACTATATTGTGACTGTGAGAGGGTTAAACCACTTGATCCACTACCATGTGAGGATACAACTACCATGTTAGGATACCATGCCCATAGTCAGTCATTATGCGGTCACACATCTCAACGATACAGTTGATAATTAAATTGATAAATTGTGTATGGTTGTTTTTTTTTCTTCCGATATGTATTCAGCTACTGGACTCATCGGTTCCGCTTACAATTATCATCCATATGGACGTCTCACAAAATCACTCTCCAAACTGAGTCACACAGGTCATATACACCCTGCCACTAAGACGATCAAGACAAGAACTTACACACAGCAACCAAATAATTAAAAAAAAGCTATCACTCAGATATTGAAAAATATTGATGACAATGGCACAAATCGGTGAAAAAGATATACATTGAATTTAGCCACATATAATACAACGTTTAATAGAATAGAAAAAAAAAATAAAGTAAGAACATCGACAGAAGGCTAAATTACGTAAGCGCTATCAAATTTGCAGCTATTGTTCTTTTCGTGTTACTCACACACACACACACACACACACAAGCACACACACACATACGTACACATATACACACGTACACACTCGTAGGCTGTTGTATAATAATGTGCCTGATTGAATGATATGCAGATTTGTAAATGTTTTATGCCGCTTCACCCCATTCCACTTAGGTTGACGTTGTATTTGATGTCACCCACCCATTTTTTTTTTTTTTTTTGTCGCATGGCGTCAATTTGTGCACACATTGTATAAATCCACCTAGAAAAACAAAATCATTTAAGGGCATGACTCTAAGAGTTATTAATCAATTAAAAAAAAACACATCGGTTTTGTTGTAATTACAACCTTTACTATCATCCCGCCCACCCACCCGAGACGTGGATTGATATAAACTTGAGCTTTGTAAAATAGATATTTCTGGATCCCTATTTGTTAAAGGACAATTTAATTCAAGGGAGTTAATTATTGAACTAAAAGCTACAAAAAAAAAACCTTAGAAAAAAATTAAAATGTAGCATACTTTAATTCAAGGGAGATAACTATTAAATAAATAGCTAGAAACATAATTGCCTAACTAAGGCATAATAAATAAAATACAACTGTATCAATTGTATTATACAATAACAAAAGATTACTATAAATGATAGGCTATATATGATTTACAAAAGTTATTATAATGTTACTTATTGATTACTTAAGAATTACGTTTGATTAAAATTATAAACACATTGGCTTTATTTTAGAATTTATTACACAAGTAAGAATTAATTCATTTTCATCATTCTTCACAATTAAAACCTATTGACTATTTCTGGATCCCTATAATTATGGGACATTACTTTAAAAACTATGTAATGTCATTAACCCGAGAGTCATGTGATCAAATCTAGTGTTCCTATGTAGTCCCTGCTATAATCATCACTAGACTCACACAACTGGACATGCGGGTATATCAAATATCATTAATCGCAATCAATTGCATTCAATCAAAACACGAATAGATGGTGAGCAAGAGTAGACAGAAGGTGTTCCGCTGATTTATTGACACAACTAAACCGAGAGTAGAGAGAAGGTGTTCCTCTGATTTATTGACACAACTAAACCGAGAGTAGAGAGAAGGTGTTCCTCTGATTTATTGACACAACTAAACCGAGAGTTGAGAGAAGGTTTTCCGCTGATTTATTGACACAACTAAACCGAGAGTAGAGAGAACGTGTTCCGTTGATTTATTGACACAACTAAACCGAGAGTAGAGAGAAGGTGTTCCGCTGATTTATTGACACAACTAAACAGAGAGTAGAGAGAAGGTGTTCCTCTGATTTATTGACACAACTAAACAAAGAGTAGAGAGAAGGTGTTCCGCTGATTTATTGACACAACTAAACAGAGAGTAGAGAGAAGGTGTTCCGCTGATTTATTGACACAACTAAGCATAGAGTAGAGAGAAGGTGTTCCTCTAATTTATTGACACAACTAAACCGAGAGTAGAGAGAAGGTGTTCCTCTGATTTATTGACACAACTAAACAGAGAGTAGATAGAAGGTGTTCCTCTGATTTATTGACACAACTAAACCGAGAGTAGAGAGAAGGTGT